CTGAAGGAGGAGAGAGGAAGCCTTAAGAATGTGCCAGCGACACAAATAATGATATCAGTACTACCAACAACGATATCGTACCATATCACACACAACGATACCAGTAATAATAATAATAATAATAATAACAATAGTATAACTCCTGACCAACTTACAACATGAATAATAACACACCACCACCATAACAATACGAATCGTCCCTACGACCACAGAGTGAATCAAAAAGTCATCAACCACCGGGACAGACAGCAAGAGGCAGTAGTCGCGAGAGAATTAAACGGCTTCGCAAAATCAGACATAATATAATCCGCGCCTCTCGATTATACAGATTTTATTACTCGGCAAGACCATGCGCAATTCTGTAATCCTGGGATTTAATTGCAACGCGTCCACTGCCCCTTTCCTTTGCTTTGTCGAGATATTCCTTCTCGTCGATAGCTCTCAGTTGCTATGGACACCAGAAAAAAAGAAAAAAAAAAGAAAAAAAAAGTACGGAAGGCCCGTATAAAATTCACTCGCAAGAAAAGAAATTTTTAACGCAAAGAAAGAAAAAAATCTATGCTGCAGCAAAATAGAATAAAATTGAAAATCCTGTTGGATTGGGCAGAGTAATATCTGGGTGCAAAAATACCAATCGGACTGTTCGTTGTGGGACAGGAGAGATATATGGTAGAGAGAGAGAGAGAGAGAGAATACACACACACACACACACACACATATACATATATATATATATATATATATATATATATATATATATATATATATATAGAGAGAGAGAGAGAGAGAGAGAGAGAGAGAGAGAGAGAGAGAGAGAGAGAGAGAGAGAGAAAGAGAGAGAGAGAGAGAGAGAGAGAGAGAGAGAGAGAGAGAGAGAGAGAATAAACAGCCGGAAGATGAAAATGGAATTAAGCAAAATAAAGACGTATGTGCGTGTTTATACACATGTGCGTATGTTCGTGAAACCCACCACGTGTCCAGTGGCAGAATATTTATCTAGCCGCACGACACTTCATTGAAATAACGAGCAAATTACACCCATAAAGCTTTTTTCCCCTTTTCTCATTTTTTCCTCTTTCAATAACGATTGCATCCCTTAAGCAGAAACCTAGACAAAAACGTTATCTTGATACACCAGGCGATTACAGGTCGTTAAAAAATGGCAATAATCTCTCATTTTGGCTTGTTTACAATCCGTCAACACGTGTGGACGCTTTGTCAGATGTAAACAAAGGATTGCTTACATGAGTTGCTGTCGTTGGTGTCCTTCCTCTCTCTCTCTCTCTCTCTCTCTCTCTCTCTCTCTCTCCTCTCTCTCTCTCTCTCTCTCTCTCTCTCTTCCTCCATCTCTCTCTCTCTCTTCCTCCATCCCTCTCTCTCTCTTCCTCCATCCCTCTCTCTCTCTCCCTACATCCCTCTCTCTCTCTCCCTCCATCCCTCTCTCTCTCTCCCTCCATCCCTCTCTCTCCCTCCATCCCTCTCTCTCTCTCCCTCCATCCCTCTCTCTCTCTCCCTCCATCCCTCTCTCTCTCTCCCTCCATCCCTCTCTCTCCCTCCCTCCATCCCTCTCTCTCCCTCCCTCCATCCCTCTCTCTCCCTCCCTCCATCCCTCTCTCTCTATTCCTCAATTTCTCTCCCTCTCTCTCTTCCTCACTTTTTCTCCCTCTCTCTGTTCCCCACTTTCTCTCCCTCTCTCTGTTCCTCACTCTCTCTCTCTCTCTCTTCCTCACTTTCTCTCCCTCTTTCTTCCTCAATTTCTCTCCCTCTCTTTCTCCTTCTCTCTCCTCCCTCTCTTTATCATTCTCTCTCTCTCCCCTCCCCTCCCCTCCCCCTCTCTCTCTCCCCTCCCCCCCTCTCTCTCTCTCCTCCCCCTCCTCCCCCCCCCTCTCTCTCTTCCCTCCCCCTCTCCCTCTCGTTCTTTTTTTCGGATGAGGTTTAAACAAGAGCAATTCCCAAAACAGGAAGCATGACGTGGCATCTTTTGGATTACGGCAGAGGACTCTCTACTTTGCATTCGGTTTATTCTATATTTTCATTTATCAGTACAATTTAATTATGCACTTAGCTCACTATCCTTCTTTTAATCCTAATAATAATAATGATAACGATAATAGTAATGAGAGTAAAGATATTAGTAAAGATAAAGATAAGAGTAATGAGAATAATGATAATAATAATGATAACATAACGATAATAACAATAACAATAGCAGCAGTGGTAGATGTTGTTATTGTTGTCATTATTATTATTATTATTATTATTATTATTATTATTATTCATAATAATCATAACAACAACAATAATAATAATAATAACAACAACAATAATAACCTTAATAATGACTATACGGTGATGATGATACTAATGATGATAGTACTAGCAGCAGCTTTCGTAATAGGAACAAAATAATGAAAACAAATTCACATAACACAATTCCACTTACAGCATATATCGACACAACCCTTTCTCTGCCGCCCCCCCCCCTCCATTCCCCCTCCTG